ACTACTAAGGCGCGTGCCAGGCAATCCATTGTTGGTATTGTACAATATGAGTCATGCCGAGGGCCAACTACCCACATCATGGACCAGCAGTATTGTTGTACCAATACCGAAACCAGGACAGCCTGATGCCTTTCGTCCCATATCACTAACCAGCTGCCTGTGTAAAACCTTTGAGAGGATGGTTCTTGGCAGACTCTTATATAGAATCAGAGAACACATGTCTCCTAACATAAATGGCTTCACCCATGGTAAAGGTGTACATAATTGCATCACCACATTCCTAACTGTGCATGGTGATGAAAGGCACAGATACACCACATTTCTTGACCTAAAAGCTGCATTTGATATTGCCAATAGGCAACTGATATTGTACGAACTAGCCAAAATGGATATAGGAGGTAGGCTGTTACACTGGATAAGTGGTTACCTAACCAACAGAAGGGCTGCTGCACTGTTTCAGGGTTACAAAAGTGAAGTTAAAGATATGCAACTTGGTACCCCTCAAGGTGGAGTACTTAGCCCCACTTTGTTCAATGTTCTTATGAATGCATTATTAAATTTAATACCAGACAACCCCAGCAATATCTCAATCAGCTATGCTGATGATATTCTTATACATACTAAAACTCATCGTGAAATGCAAACCACCCTGAACCATGTATATACGCAGCCTGTGAACACCTCGGTCTTATTATCTCCACTGACAAAACTAAGGTGTTCAACAAACAAGCTGGTAACCGCAAACGCGGCCCCGCCAAGTTCAAGATAGGTAACAACACTATTGACTATGTTTCTTCTTTTAAATATCTTGGTGTTTCCGTCCCTTGTACCCTACCTGCCATACAACAGCTAACCCGCCAATGTACTGACAGACTGAGACCTCTTAGAAGTGTAGCGGGGTACAGCCCGCACTATGGTGCTAATATTAGAATTGTTAAAACAATGTACCTAGGCTATATAAGATCTCTGATAGATTACCACGCACCAGCCCTGGTCATTCGTGACGGGAAAGGCGTTGACAAGCTCGAGAAAATGCAAAATAAAGCCCTCAGAATTATCCTAGGATGTCCCATGAGCACTAAAGTACTTAATATGAGGAAAGAACTAGGTATACCCAGTGTCAAAGATAGAATAATTGAAGTCAACCTCATGATAGCCCTGAGGCTTCTGCGTGGTGATCCTGATAACATTGTTTCCTTAAAATTGCTAGAATGTATGAACCATGGGACTACTGAGTCTAAATGGATCCAAACTACAGCTACACATATGAAGATATTTGGACTAGACAACCTGTACAAAGTTGAGACACAACAGCGCTTCCTGCCACCCTGGCGGACAGTTCCCTTCGATATCACAATACCGACGTATCCACCTAAAAAATTAATTATACAAAGCATTTATCTCCAACACACTGCCAAATTGAGAGCTCTTGAACGCATACACACTCTACAGACTGATGATAATATCACACAGACCATCTACACTGATGGATCTCTAAACACCGCCTGTGGGAGGGCTGGAAGTGCTAGTGTTGTGACTCAACCTGACGGCAATATAATTGAGAAAGGAGTTAGAATTAACAACTGGGCATCCACTCTACAAACTGAATTAGTTGCCATACTCACAGTTATTAAATTCATTGAAACCACTGTTACTGACAGTCTCATCATCACTGACTCTCTATCCTCACTACTTGCCCTTGGTACCCTCGACTCAGGTTGTCACGATCTTGTCTCTGAAGCCAGACACAAATATGCGTGCCTTGTTGACCGGGGTGTCAGGGTCAAACTGTTGTGGATCCCCTCTCACATAGGCCTCATAAAACATGACAGAGTTGATGCCCTCGCCAAACTCGCGTCTAACAAAGACACCGTGGAATACAATTTGGGTCTGTCAAAAAGAACCCTTAAAACTGTAATTAGGAAAGAACTTATTGATGAGTTTGACGCAAGTAGACAAGTGCAAACAGGCACTAGTCGATCCATAGTTTACCATGATGAGATGTATCAAGTGAAACATGTATATGGAGCAAGTAACACGATCACTAGATTACAAGATGTTGTAACCGCTAGATTAAGGTTAGGATATAAGTACCTTTGGCAGTATGTTCCTCAAGCAGATGTAAACAAAACTAAATGTGTCAAGTGGCAGGGTAGGGTGTGGGATCGTTATAAGGTCAGTACACACAAGATACTGTACTCATGACACCAAAATTGGACTTCAGCTGAGCAATTTTATATGAACACAAGCTGAGTTACATGGTGTTAGTAGGATTGGAAAACGTTTGACTCTGTGTACTTTGTAGTTGAAAAATAAGTTGTATACCGTAATTATGGCGCCGTTGGATCTCCTGTGGCAACCATGTTTTGGTTCACATTGCCTGCTGTACGAAGTCTTCGCCAGTTCCTAGTGACGTTACGATTGTCTACATCAAGGAATATCTAATAAGGAAGTTATACTCAAAGCCTTAAAGCCTTCGATTGGCCTACCAGCTAGTGACAAGGCGTTCCTTAGAAAGAAAACGATTTTTACTTTTATGGGCAAACTATTATAAAAGATGAATATTTATTGTACCTTACAATACACGTATAATATTAGAACAGCATCTGAAAGCAGTGTTCTTTTTTCGTTCATATTAGGAACAATAAACATACCCTGGATTGGAAAAAACAGTATAGAGGTGTTTAAATCATCATAGGTCAACGAAAGACTTCTGGTTGAAACAAGTCTAATTAGGGAAATGAATTCTATAAACCTTAGTGATGGTCAGTACAAAACTGATGTTAATAAATTTTTTGTCAGTGGCCCAAGGTTAAAAATGCGTTGAAAGCATTTGAGGTGGATGTAGGGTAGATGATTAGTGGGTCCCATGTTTTTGACCTGACTTGACTCTTTTTATAAGCTCTTCTTTCACTTGCAGTGGAGGAGGGGGGGGGGGTGGATTAATGGATCCCATGTTATTGACCTGACCTGATGTTATGTAAGGTCACCCATTGTATATAAGCCTCTCTCAGTCCCTGTAAACTCAGTTGCCTCTGAAGATGTCTTGAATAACGACAAAAGCTAAGGTGCTCCAGTGTTTCCCTTTTCCTGTGTGGTCTTATAACCTTGGCACCCAAGACTATAGCCATGGTCTTGGGTGCTAGAAGTGGTATAAGTCTTTAGGTTTATCTATTTAATGAAGTTATAAGGCCCACCAGGTACTAACCATTTATTATGCTATATTTCATTAGCCTAATAAAGCATGCGTACTTCTACATATAATCAACACCTCAACCCGCCAGGATTCGAACCCACGGCCCACGAGCTATGTATTGTACAGGGTCACCGAAAAGGAATTTCCAGATTTCAATATACCGTACTGTACAGTATTAATAATAACAATAATAATAACAATAATAATAATAGTAATAATAATAATAATAATTAATAATAACAATAATAATAATAATAATAATAATAATAATAATAATAATAATAATAATAATAATAATATTAAAATAATAATAATAAAATAATAATAATAATAATATTAATAAAATAATAATAATAATAATAATAATAATTAATAATAATAATAATAATAAAATAATAATAATAATAATAATAATAATAATAATAACAATAACAATAATAATAATAATAATAATAATAACAATAATAATAATAATAATAATAATAATAATAATAATAATAATAATACTGTGACCCCTCCGTTAACGAACTCAATCCGTTCCAGAAGGTCGTTAACTGGTAGAAAAGTTCACTTACTTTGAGGTGTGTATATAGAAGGCTCCTGGATGATGATGATGATGATGGGATTTAGAATGGGGGTGGAGGAGAAGGAAGAAGAGAAGGCAATGGGGTGGAAGAGAAGTCACCCCATGGCGCCATTTCACCCATAAAATTTTAGCTCTCTGGTGTAAATCAAGATTATTTTCTTTAAATCAACACTGCACTGCATTATATATTGTCAATATGTAAAATATATTTCAAAATGACCAATAATTTGCTTGGAAACACAGAAAAAAAGCGTTTAGTTGAAGAGAGTCTCAAGCAAGATGTTACCTCCAGTGAAAACAGAGAGAGACTAACTCCTGTTTGCTGTGTTAAGAGGCTGGATGCCGCGCATTAAACTAGTCACTTTACCTTCAATTATGTTCAATAATTGTTAAAATGACTAAAAAATTGAATATTAAACTTTTAAAATTATTGAATAGTATAAACTTCTTGATATTTACTAAAATAGTAAGGAATTTAAGCCCTAGAACCGATTAATGTATTGGCCGACTGATACTAAAGCTGGTTGCCCGGTCAGTGCAAGCGAAAACATGTTGAGGTCGGTTCGTAAGAACTTCATTAACCGAATTTTTTTTCGTTAACCGAATTGAAGATCCTTATGGAAGGCAGTTCGTTAATCGAAATTACGTGAACCGAGGTGTTCTTTAAACGAGGGGTCACTGTAATAATAATAATAATAATAATAATAATAATAATATAATAATAATAATACAGTAATAATAATAATAATATTAATATCTATTATTATTATTATTACAACATTTAATAGCAAATTAATACAAATAAAAAAAATAAATAATAATAACCATAAATAAATACAAAAACGAAAAAATAAATCAAGAGTGAGAAACGATACACATTATGTATGTTGTGTTGTCCAAGTAAGAGAAGCAATTGAGACCCTGCAATTGTGTGTAAATGAGGCAGAAAGTCAGATCAGCAACCTGGGACTTGGTCACAATTTTCATGATGCCATGTGGCAGCAAGATCTACCATAGACAGCACATTATGCTTCCAATATCTTCCCAGGCGGTAGTACCTCCCTGATTGGTAGCTGCCTACTACCTACTACCTATAAATGAATGTTGAGTGTTCTCTTCCCATGACCATTTATATTTATGCACAAAAAATCACAGTGAACAAGCTGTTCAGGTAATATACAAATACAAAAGATAATCAGAGGAAAGAGAAACATGAAAAATGCCCAAGCAATTGTGTATTTCTTACATCTTCAAGCAGTACAGTACATACATATTTTTTTCCAACATACAAGACTTTTCCTGTTTTAATGAGGGGTGGCTGGACAGGTGCTTATCTGATAATTCTTAGCACTCAGCAACTAGGAGTTTGAAAACAGCCAAGATTACGTGACGGGAAGTCCACACATTGTGTCATAAAATAAAGCCAAACTCCATCCATGTGCCTCAGGTAAGGAAAGGGAAGAATCCTGAATTAATGTACAGAACTAATTGGGCTCCACTGGTCAATTGGTTGTGTATTGAACTGCCAACCTCCGAGAGTGTAGCCAGGAGGGTTTCGTGGGCTATTATTCCCAGGAGAGGTTTGTGTTGTGTGTGTGTGTGTTTGCTGGATTCATCACTCAACTGTATCAGTGGTCTGGACAGAGCTAACCCCTCTAGCCTGCATAACATCGTCTAAATTGTGAGAAATGATGTCATTTTAAAGAACTGATAACAAGGCGACTCACCAAAATGCAATGTGTTACTACTCTAAAATTTTAAGAAGTCCACAAAAGAGAGATAAATAGCAATAATGGCATAATTAACTGTTGTAGGTTATTAACTCAGTTAATATTCATCAATAGCTGACACTGTTAATTAGTGGGCATAAAAGTTCCAGTTCTCCGTCCTTATTCAAAACTTTTACCCCCCCAAAACAGATTGTTGATCCTAGAAACCTAATTTTATAGCCAAAGCAAAAGTTGCCACTCAAGATTGAAAGGTAAGACAATCTTGGTGGTAAAGCTGCTGGTGTAATGTACAGTATAGTTACATCTTGGGTTGTCCATACAACAAGACACAGTCCAGATGGAACCCACAAGAAAGAGGGAGTCTAGTCTCTCCTTGTCCCAACTCTGCTATAAAAAGGGATTTCCAGGATCAGTTACTGGAAATGTAAACATTAGAAGCTTTATAGTAGAAACTAGAACACAATATATTGTATTGTCATCCTGTAACTTTCGGCTGAAGATCTAAACACAGTTAGTTGGGAACAAATCTGCTCTCTGCATTATAGAAGCTGCAGCACAATTTCCTCTGTATAACAGGATATTATCTAAAATTGCATCACAAGAGTGGCAATACTGCAAAGCTAAGCAGTTCAATGTACAAAATATATCACAAACAGGACACTGAATATGGGTGTCTTGAGGGTGAAGCAGCCTGCCACAGTTGGGATAAGCTAAGATTATCTCTGTCACTCACCTGAAAAAAATCATCACATCACTTAGCCCACTTTTAGAAATCTCAACAACAAAGATTTCAACACTCCAAGAGGCACCACGGCACATCAGACAACCTGCCGTATATGAACATAAACTACAAGATGAATGAGTGGCTGCCCAGGAAGTGTCAAAGAGAACCATACAACTTGACGATGATCATTAGATTAGTTTAAACCCAAATTTTCCCTCTGGGGATCATTGTGTGAGGTAAGGACTGATTGGTCAAAATACTTCTGTGGGAGGTTTAAACTGATGGTTATATCCCTTACATACTGTACCTAACTTAAATATACCAACCTGAATATAAATATGCTTATTCCTTAAACCAACCATAACCTAATGTTCTCATGAAACATTCAGCCTCGTCCCTAAAAGTGTAGCACAGTGCTCATTACAACCAAGTTGGGAATATTATGTGCAGGTCTGTTAACTTGAGGGTCAGTCCCCCACCCAACATCCATAAATGACTTCCTATAACTCTAAATCAACCTCAAAATAATATTCCTGCCCCATAAAATATTTTCCCAAAGAATAGACTGAATTACTTACTCTGTGAGACTAAATCTTATTTTTGACAAACTGTGAGTGAGGTCAGGGCCACATACGTCTGCTGGCACAATTGGTGATTGGATTGTTCGTAAACCTTTGTAGAAGTTTGACAAAGATTAAAAGAAATTAAAATGATAGATAACTAAAGTATATCAAAATGTTATAACAGTGATTCTCCTCATGTTATGTAATAGCACATATGTAAATTATTTGGACAACCTGTAAGATATTATGGAGTCTAGCCTATAATAAATAATAACTACAGTAATGAAAAAAATAATTGAAACTGGATCATTTTTATGACTGGATCATTTTTATGACTAGATCATATTTATTATGCATAGTGTCATTGTAATTAAATCCCTGTTAGATTCTCAGGAGAGCATTATGTCTCCTTAATCATTATACTGTACATGAACATTGTTCGGACACAGAAACCTATACTGTACAGTATTTAAGGCATGTTGGCCAATATAACTTCATAAAAAAATATTCAAACATCTTTCCTACTGTACACCAACCATAACATAACAAACATTGAGCATAACATAAATATTATATACACAGTATGTACAGTACAGGAACAAGTTAATCAAGAATAAAACACCGGCTGGATTCTCTCAATATCAGTCCGACAGACGGGACACACCCTGGGCTCCAGCTTGAGGGCACAATCACTACACACACACACGTGACGACACGGCATGAGGAGAACGTCTCTCAGGCCGCAGCACACCACACACATGAGGCTCTCCGGCAGGTCGTGACCCTGGGCCTCTCTCCGTGCGCGAGCCTCGTCCAGAATACTCTCTTCAGCTCGTCTACGGGCGTCCTTGCGCCACTTAACGTACCATCGAGACACAACGCTGAATAAAACAAGAATATTAACTTATAAGAGATGCCCAGTTTTCATTCATTAATAAGAACTGGTAATTGACTAAATGTATCCTATGAAATCACTAGTAAAATATCTTTAGATATGGAAATACGTGAGAAGCAATGATCCACACCCTCCTACCCAGGTCACCCGCTGGGAGCCACAGTCAAGAGAAAACAATACAAAATTAAAAATGAACAGTTGGGAGGACACTGTATTCCTATCATCAATAACCCCGGCTGTTTACTAGTAAGACGACACTTAATAAAATCTTAAGACAAAATGAAGACTATCAAATAAACCCAACTACTTGGTAAAGATTTTGGCTGAAAACGACAAGATCAAACTGTCAAACTTCATGTATAAGATCCATTATCACTGTTGAGTAGCAGTGATGACCTTGAAACTAAGTCTAACACACAAACAGCAACAACTAGTTACACAAACTACGCTAAGTCTAACAAACAATTTTCTTACCGGTATGAATAAAACACCATCCCACACGCCGTCAACAGACCCAGCAGCCGGAGATATGGAATCGGTGCTTCTATATCCTCGATGACAGTCTGGAAAAATAATTCTTATTACTCAAAGGTACATTCATTCCCTTTGACATTACATTAGGGTTATGTTAAGTGAGGGCGAGTGAGGTTGGGTTAGGTTAGGTTAAGTGAGGTTAGGTTGGGTTAGAAAAAGGTGGGTTAGGTGAGGTAGGTTAGGTTAGGTTGGGTTGGGTTGGGTTGGGTTGGGTTGGGTTGGGTTGGGTTAGGTTGGGTTGGGTTGGGTTGGGTTGGGTTAGGTGAGGTTTAGGAGTGCACCGGATAATAGCAATTATCTGGTATATGGCTGGATATCTCTCTTATTCGGCCGTATAACCAGAAAATAACAGTTGAGGAAGTACAGGTACACTATAGTTCACAGCTGAGGAAGGACAAAGTACCTTCTTGTTCTTCATTGTTATCATGTAAGGTATAAGATCGGAGTGCTCCAGGTGAAGGCCCTCGTTCTTCAGCACCAGTCGGCCAATTCCCAACACGCTCGTCCCCTCGACCAGCATCTCCTGTGGGTAAATATATCGGTTAGCTTGACAAATGCTAGACAAAAACATCTATTTTGTTTACCTTCCTCACTTCACACAACCAAACACCACCAACAACTCCTTCCCAAATGCTCACTCAACTTCATGCCTTGCTAGTCATCCTCAACAAAACCCCAGTCTGAGGTGTAACTTTAAGACAACCGTATCTTACCTCAGTCTGCTGCGTGCCAGTCGTACGAACGCCCTTCATCCAGCCCCACACGTGATCGGCTAAGGAGTTGGTCGCTGCGTCAAATTTTTCGTTGACAACAGTTAAATCTACGTCTTCCAACTTGCCAGGTTCTGTAATCTGGGACAGAGAGAAGCACCTGAAGTAATCACAATACCAAAACCATATCCAGTATAGTACAGTAACACAAACCATGAGGCATTACTACAAAATTAGAAACTTATTCAGAAACATTGATACCAGTCAAGATTCTGGGAACAGGAAGAGGTGGAGTGAGTTTAATGTAACGGCATTATTGTACTACACAGCTGGTGCCTTGTGGATAGGAAGTGAATTACATTAAACACTACTTAACCTAATCATATACGGTATTGTACAGTTCATAAATAATTGTTTCCATAAACTAAATGGCTCAGTAACAGACCAGCTCACACTACAACACTACCATATTGTGAGAAGTTTCATTACAGGATCACACTGCCCTCTACAATTTTTTATCTTCCTCTGCACACCACTCACATTATATACACTATTAAGTTCTTCATTTAAATTACACTAATATGCCTTAGTATCACACTGATAAGCCTTGCCAAGATGGTGTAACCAGTGCTAAAGGCTTTCATCAATACAATAGATGTTCCTAGCTAATATGAGAAACTCCCCTTTGGTACAAAGTCACTTCTGGCAGAGGTACAGTCACGGAAAAATGTCCTGTCAGGCCTCCGTTCCATCCATGAACCCTGAGACTCATGAACCTGTGAATACGAGACATAACACAGTGCACCATCTACGGACCCAACAATATGTGCCGTCTCAGATTCACAGGTTCAGGAGTCTCAGGTTGGAGGGTCGATAGGACTTTCTTCCATGACTGTACAAATACTGAACCAGGTTGTGGGTCAGTATAAACAACATGAACACCTGAGCCTCTCCATCACCCACAGGTTAGGTTATTCAGGTCAATACTATATTGCGGAGGTTCACAAACTTACAGCCATAGACCTGTTACTGAGTTCTGCAATAACCGAGCACCTGTTCTTGAAGTACAGGGGGGGGGGGGTATAAAATATATGGTAATATGTTACTAAACACACACACAGGCACTCTAAGATTACTTATTATAAATATGATCAATTTTGTTTAATATTCCCATTAACTTCTGAAAGGGGAGAGGAGGGGGGAGCTCACAGGATGTTATAGGAGATGTATATCTGTCCTAGACCACAACAACACACAGTAATTCTTCTACCATAATACCCTGTGTTGAGGACCTTGTAGTAATGGTTGTCAGGAGGACTCTGTCTGGTCAACCCATAAGGATAGATATATATGTAAGGGGAAAACTCCACTATCAAGAGGTAGAATAAATAAGATGAGAGGCAGGAGGGTCTATATGTGAGAATTTTTTTTTTAACACTGTATTGATGACCAACAGCAGAGTAGTGAGTCAAGAATCTAGGTAGAAAGAAACATGGAAAGATGGTTGGAAGCTGCCAGAGCATACCTTTCAATATAACTCGGCTAAAACAACACTTATCACCTCGGAAGTAAAACCAGTAAAGTTTGAAGGTCACAGAGGCCCCCAGTACTGGCTAGCTAGGTGAGGTTTATACTCATTACAAGAAGACTATTGTTTAGGTTAAGTTAGGCTAGTACTCATTAGACAATAATTCTAATGATTAGGTCAAGCTGGTAACCATAAGGACTGATATCCAGTGTAAAAAGTTAATAAAGAGAGCAGCTGTGTCAACACGTGGGCACAGTCACTTTAACACACCTGCACTCCAATGCCTTTATCCATCAACATGAAGGGGACGTTGCTTGTAGATGAATCAACAGTCAACTTGTCATTCATCCTGGAAAACAAAGACACAAGTTTCAAAAGTCTCTTTATTAAATTAGGAAACTATCAGCTTTGGAAATATAAAACTTCTGCCTATGTAAATTTCTGATCCTTTTTCCATTGATCTTCATTTGTTACATACATAAGAGAGCCTATCTATATTTCTTCTGATAATTTGTGTTTATATTAAGTTCTCATTCTTACTGCAGTATATAATTATAGTGTTTAACCCTTAAATGTCGGAGATCATTCGTGAAAATTAGCTATAGACCCGGCAACAATAATCTCTGGAAATTTCATATTACCCGAGTTTTATTTTTAGCTGCCAATTAAAGGTTAAGGCTACTGCTATGTAAGAGGATTATCTATGGATGTTCTCTTTCTGTGTAAAGTTGGTGCTAAGGCCAGACTTCACCCTTCTGTGCTGCGTCACCAATACAACCCATTCTGCATCACTCTTCCTTCCTTAATATTTCTCGCCTTTCTTGAGGTTTCTGCAGACCCTTATTCCCACTCAACATATAGTAAGAAGAGAATTAGAATTATAAGATAGATAATTATGGTTGACTATACTCTTAAACCCTTAGCTATGGGGATGACACTTTGAATATTTTATTTGGCTAATGTCAGACGATTTTATCCAGCAGACAGGTGACCCCACACACTAGGATTTAATGACTTACCAGAAGCCCATGACCTGTGCCACGAGGTGTTCCTGAATGGTGTGACGCCATATGACACCCGCCACCTCCGGCCGTGCCACGCTTTTCAATGCGATATCGGAGGCTTTGACGACTCCCCGCACACAAGCGATCAATCCTCCGCCGCTCTCTGCCACGCGGCCAATGAGACCTGCGTTGATTTCCAACTCTGGAGTTTGCTGCAAGAAGACATAGTATGAGGTGACAGACAGGAAGAATGATGAGAGCTTATGTTGCTCTTGGTCCAATTCTATATTTCCATTATTGATAAAACAAAAAATTTTGATTTGGTTGTTTCCCCAAGATACAATGAATACAACTGGAAATAATTATCACCATTTACTCTATGTGTTATCCTGGTAAATGTATACATGTGCTGTAGGAATTTTTCATCAATAAATTAAAATCAATAACTTCTTTACCTCTTAAAAAAAAATCTTCAAGTCTGGCCAGTTAGGAGACACTAGACCACTGTGGAATGAACAGCATGAAATCAAATTAATGGTACCGGTGTGGCGTACTGGGGACCACACACTAGCCACTGACCTTCAGGTGGTAGACGACGTCCCTCCCGGCCCTCACAAACTGGTACAAGGTGTAGGTCAGCCCGGCACTGACCCCGAGGCCCACCAGGTCAAAGGCATAGTCCTTCACGGGCATCTTAGGTCCAGGGTGCCAGAGGGAGTATTTGGTGTCAGTAATAAGGTATAAGGAGATGTTTCTACTTCACTTTTAACTTTACTTAGTTTTTCCTCCCGTATTAGTTAAAAGAAGTTCCTAGACCTCCCTGTAATCCACATTAGTTTGAGATAACAGATAATTTCACATATAAAAATCAATAAATAAAATAGATATTACTTTGAAAAATTATCTCTTATTTACTAGTAACAATAAAAAGTTCTGTCGTCATCTTGGAAAGTTCCCTTTAAAAGATCATCTGCTGGGAACCATTTATCTTATTACACTCGTCTATTTACCTTATATTCCACCTTTATATCACTCTGTAGTTAAGTTTTTGTTCCTCTTGTTATATTAATATGTCTTTGTCAATCATATAGCTTAAAAGTTTTATAATAATAATACTCAAGGTCCAGGAGCTTCTTGTTTACATCCCAAGAGAGCGAATGTTATGAACTGTACCACGAACACCACGACGAGCCTAAGGTATTATGAAGTCTACTGCAAGACAGCGAGTGTTATAAACTGTACCACGAACACCACGACGAGCCTAAGGTAATAATACTGTAAACATGAGACTATTAAAGCCTAAATACCACGATGAAACTATACTGGGACTCGATCAGTCTTGTATCTTACTTTGTCATATAATATTGTGACGATTTTATTAAGTTTACTATTTTTTATTTATTAAATATTTCAGGTTTTATAGTTAATCCTTGGATATATTTACGAGTAGCATAAAAATAATGGTTGGATGCAATATTTATACTACTACTACTACTACTAGCAATGGTTATTATTATTATTAGTAGTAGTAGTATGAAACCTAAATAATAATTAATGTATAATTTTGTCATACAGTTTAATTGTAAACATTTTTTGCCGTATATGCAATTATGAAATACAGATTAGATTCAGATTTGCCTTTGAGGGGCTAGTTTATTAGGCACCTTACATCCTATTATGCGGGTGAAGCGCAAAGCGTTTACAGCGCCCAACTGGGAAGTATGAAAAGTTCATACTTGCCTTTATGACCTCGTACATTAAGGGCGTAATAAAAGCCTGAAGGGTCATAGGTTCTGTCAAGTTACATAAAATTGAGAATGATGAGTGTGTGGGGAAAGTTCCAGTACATTTTATCTGTTTATATGTGTAAGAGTGGCTTGGAGTCCTAATAATGTGATGCCAGGCCTGTGACTGGGAGGAGGGATATCTGGTCTGGGAGGGAAGAGGTGTTGGTAACGGCTGGGGACCTATAGGAGGAGGAGGTCATAATAGGGCAAGTGAGGATGTAGTGAGAGAGGGTGTGAGAGTCGGGTTGGCCACAAAGTTTACAAACAGTGCAGTGAGCTCAGGGTTGCCAATGTACTCCCATAGGTGCCTGTACCCTGAAACGCAGTCTCATGGTCAGGGATTGATATTCTTTGTCGTGGCTGTCGTCTGGTTACAACGTCATAATTAATAGTGTGATGCCCCGTTGTTTCAGGTGTGTCCAATTTTCGTTGAATGCCTCTCGTTTGTGTGGCGTGTATGCGAGATTTGAGATGATTCAGGGAGAGGCGAAGTGGCTTCAGTATCTTCTTCTTGCGCGTAGCTCTTTGGCAAGCTGATCAACAGTGTCACAGGCAGTTATTCCTATGTGACGGGATCCAAAAGAAAGCTTGACACGGATGTGTCCTCCAGTTTGTTCTAGCCCGGCAACGGCGGCCTAGGGTGTGTTGGGCGGCAGGGGAGGAGGAGGAGGGGTAATTTGAGCCTCGCTAATGAAGTGCTGTCACTGATTATAAGGAGGTTCCGGCGTTCGGTGCGAGCATAGGTCGCCCCCTCATGAATGCCCGCGAGGATGGCCATGCTTTCAGCATCAGTGGAGGTGGACTGATTTTCCGCAGGCCTGGCGGCTCAGGAGATCACAGCTGCCCCAGCGCTGCCCAGCATAGTAACAGACCCCATCACAGTAGACGAGGATAGGAGATTGGGGTCTTTAGAGAGGAAGTGACATCATTAATCTGCTCAAGGCAGTTAAGTTTGAGCATATACACTCAGTTGGGTGGATTTACGACCAAGGAAGGTGTGAACGACAACATCAACACACGGGGAGGTCCACGGCAGTGGGGGCGGATGAGTGTACTCGGGGAGAGGTCGAGAGGGGGTGTAAGAGGTGATAACGCAGGATGTCAGCAGCAGTGTGGGGCCAGTGTTGAGAGGAGAAGAAATGTGGGGACGAAAGGCCGGCGCAGGGGGGTGTTAAGATGTGAGTTCGGTGAGCGCGACAGAGGTCGGTTGCTCACTGCGAAGTTTAACACCAAGGATGGCATTGAGAGCAAAATAATTCGATCGCAGACGGGGAAGCAGGATTAGTTCGCGCTGCATGGCTTCTATTCACAGGTGGTCATAGGGCAGCCGAGGGATGAGTCTCATTGCTCTGTTTGGATTTTCTCTATGCTTTGTTTCTCGCGCTGGGGAGGCAACTGGGACAGGAGAGGCATCTATGACAGCTCTGACGATGGCAATGTACATGAGACAGGACCCTGACAGAAATCTCCTTTGAGGCCGTGAGTGAGGACTGGAGGGGCCTCGTTCGTTGGCAGCACTGGGGGAGATGACGTGGGCGGCGACAGCGGAGGTCGTGGCTCTGGTAGTGGCTCCGCTGCAGGCAGACCAGGTACCTGTAGGTGCGTGCCAGTCGATGTCTTGTCCTTGCAGAGTCAGTGGTGTCTGACGCCGGAAGCGTGAATGAACTTGGTTTTAATTAATGGCCAGAGATAATGGCCGAGTGTTTACGGCAGGTCCGGAGCAAACGTGGAAGTATAAGTTGTTCATGTTGCACTGTAATGGTGGAGGATATCATCAGCGTAGCTATGATGTGACAAATCTAGGGCTCGCTCAGCAAAGATGACGTTGAGACGGCAGATGGAGTTCATGAGAACATTATGAAGAGGTGTAGGACTAGTACACCTCCTGAGGCGTGCCAAAGATCAAGGTCCCTGATCTTAGGTAGTGGCCCTGAAAACGGACACGGGCCTGTCGATGGGAGGTAGTCAGCAATCCACGTGAGGTTGCCCTTCACATCCATGTGAGTGAGGCCATCAGGATCACTTCACTGTTGGCTTATCAAAAGCACCCTTGAAGCCGACGAAGAGGAGGTTTTTGGCGGAGGTGTTGCCATGTAGTGAGCGTGCAGTGAGCAGTACTCTTTCCGGGGCGAAAACCATAGGGTCAGGGGTGCAGGTGGGCTTCAATTTTTTCCAGTGGAGGCGGTGGGTATCATGCGCTCCATCTTCTTTTGAGAAGCCAGGAGATGAGGATGATGGACGATATTCATCTTGTCTGCCTGGTTTAGGGACTGGGATGGTGGTAGCAGTCTTCCCATGAGTGGGGCAGCTGACCAGTATCAAGAGGTTAAATAGACAGAGGAGGGGTTACCAGGGGTGGCTTAATAAGGACATTAACACATCATATGTGACGCGCCGTCATCGCCTGGGGTGATGGACCGACCACGCTTAACAGCATTTAGTAGTTCACACTGTGTGAAAGAGCACGTCGGTGTCTGCAAATGGAGTCTTGGTACTCGAAGATGCGCTGTCGGCGTTGTGGTTGCTGATGCGAAATTGAGTCTCGTACAGCGGGTGGTAGCGCATCAATGGAGGCCGGCCTCCTGCCAAGTCTGGGAGAAGCGCCTCTCGAAACTCCGGGCAGCTGGTTTGAGGTGGAGCGCGGGTCTAGCGTTGGTGCCCCTGGGCACGGTTAATGGTGCGCCATATATCACCTATAGATGTAGACTGGTCAATAGAAGAAGCAAAAATCAAACCACTGCTTCTCTCGTGCGAGTGATGGCAGATTAGACTCTTTATTTGTGCGCATCCAGGAAGCGTAGAGGTCAGGGAGCTAGGAGGACTATTCCACTGGTCGACTGCTATTCGGTGCCATACTCGGATGGAGCTTAACGCCAAGGGTCACGGTTAACGTTCCACTGACTCCTGGGCGCGGTTAGGGCGGCGGTATTTTTGGGACAGGGCGGAGGAGGTCAGTGCATTGGACAGATCAGGTAGAGTTGGTCTGCGGTAGTGACAGTGTAACCCTGGAAACCATTCAGCAGTGGAAGTATTGAAGGCAGGTATGTTGGCGGGGTAGCCTGAGCCTGGGGCCTTGGGTGGAGCAGGTATTCTCACATGCTGGAGGGTAGTGTGGATGGGGAAATGGTCACTGTGGGGAGTGGAGGATGCTGGCGGGTGGAGTGTGGGCGGTGAGGTCAAGTAAGAGAGCTATGTAGTCAAGTTTTCACTCCCCCGATGTGGGGGGGGTGATGGAGGGCAGAAGACGTACAGGGTCATCAGTGGTTTCTGTGCATGGGAGAGCCAGGAGTTACCCAGGAGTTTGAGTGGGGCCCCTGGCAGCCAGACTAGGGTGACAGGCATTGAGGTCCCCACAAGGAGGTGCTTGGGGGTGGAGGTGATATGGTGTGGTAGGACAGGTACAGTAGGGGTGGAGGGAGGCACATAGACATTGACAATATTGAGGACATACCTTTTAGTGTGATTGTGATGGCATGTGCGTCCAGTAGTGTCGTCATCAAGGGGGACGTCAGAGGTTGGTAAAGGGGACATCGCTTCTTGACGTAGATCCGTAGTCACGTGCATGGCTTCGTGGTAGTCCGTCAATGCGGAGGAGAACAGGAGTGGATGGGCTCTCCAACACATGTGTAGCCACTGAGCACATAGGTACCAGCAGCACACTGCGTTTCTTGGAAGCACAACACGTCGACGTCTTCAGCGGTGTAGACGTAGGTTTTGAGGAGCACCAAACTTGCTTTGCAAGCCGTTTATGTTCAGGTAGTGCCTGCAGTCCTGTAGCGTTGCTATCCATTGTGGTGTATTAGACTGATTACCCCTGACGTGGACGGATGGGCCTTAGGTGCCGGCATGTCGGTGGAGTATGGGTAGCCAGGGGTGCGTCCTCAGGTCAATTGGTAGCCCTGGTGGAACAGCACAGACACAGGAGCAGGCGCATTGAGGTGGAGTAGACAGGTTGGGCACCACGTGACGTAAAGATGAGGCAGGGCTTGGCTCAGGGGCCCAGTACACAACCTGTGAGCAGGGGGGGCTCACAGGGGGATTACCAGCTTGTGTCAAACCAAAAGAGGGGGGAGCTGGGTGGCAGCAAGGGCAGGGAGTTGGCGTGACAGGTCCAGAGATAGCGGTACAGAGTGTAACCAAGAGTTTCTCTCCAACATGACTAGTAAATTCTTGGAAGAGGGACATGATCTGTGTCATGTCACTGGAGACAGGTGTGGGGGGGGGGCACTGGTGGCGGCACAAGGCTTGACAGCGTCAGGGTAGAGATGGGGTTGTGGGGGGGCACTGGTGGCGGCACAAGGCTTGACTGCGTCAGAGTAGCGACGGGGTTGTGGGGGGGAACTGGTGGGAACACGAGGCTTGATAGCGTCAGAGTAGAGACGGGGAGGAGGCTCAGTAGTGGTTGAGTTAGGGAATGGTAGGTGCTGTTGTGGTGCAGCCTGGTGAAGCCAGGCAGGGGCAGGTGACCCAGTAGACTGAGGGGGGCGTTGTGGTAGATGCAGCCCTTGGGGAGGCCTCTCCCCTGGGACAGAAGGGCAACTGGGGCACTGCCGTGAGTCAGCATTGTGCTGGCCGCCACAGTTACAGCACCTGGGCTCAACTACATAGCCCACACCACCCCTATTAAGGTGGTCTTTGATTTTCTGGGCACAGGCGGCGGAGTTGTGGTTACGTGAGCAGAAGCGACATCTAGGACGATCACGTCGGCAGCAGGCAGTGAAGGTGTGACCCCAATGAGAGCAGATAACACAAAATGCAGGCCCAGGATGATAGGGCTCTGCATAAAGTGGTGGAAGGATTGGATGGGCTTCCACAGTGGTTGGACATACCCTTCCCTTCCACTTGACAATAACAGCAGCTTGTGGAGTGTGTCCCCGGTAATGTCGACGTATACTGAGTATATTAGAATTAAAGTCACGTGCATCTTCGATGTCAGCGTATAGGGGGAATCGTTTCACTAGGATGTGGCAACATTCATCAGCGTCTGCTGGAGGGGCCACTAGGACAACCCCGTCAAAGCCAACAGTACTAAGGGTTTTATAGACTTCAGGAGTCTGACACTTGATAAAGTTCCGGTTCTTACCCTGTCGGAATTGAATGTTGGGACCATGCTGTCTGCAGTACTTCATCATCCAATTAAACCGATCCTCGACAGATTTTAATGAGTCCTTGGGAAAGTGGAGATTCAGCTTACTTGTTTGTTTGGCAGAGGGCAGGGTGATAGGGTCCATGGCATTGCTGTTTCCACTGTGGCTAGTGTTTCCCATAGAAACATTACCGTCACTGTCATAATCACTGGGGTCTGACTCTTGAAGGGTGTTGGATTCAGTCAAGACCTGCTGTGTTTTATTCCCAGTTGAATTCTTTCTGCTTCCTTCTGTGTGTGTCGTCATTTTCTTCCTATCATTCATGATCTCATCACTGTCGCTTCCTTCACTTTTCTTCGCCTCCTCTCGCCTCCTCTTCTTTTCTTTCTTACTAATCACTTCTTGAAAATTGTCTATCACTTCTATTGCTGTTGGCCGCGGATTGTCTGCTTCTGATTCACTACTTGAAAGCCTCAGGTCGTCTTCTAAGTTGTTCAGTAGGGCAATCTTTTCTACTTTAGCCAAAGCCTTCATAGGTTTCTGCCCACCACTCTCCCCAGGCATTGTGCAATGCTTGTGTTCGGTCACAGGCGAGATGGAGAAACAACGACGTCACTACCACGTCATTCAACGTCACGCTCTTCGCACTGCGCATGCGCAGATACGAAAATAACCGACCAGAGGGTCCAGGCAGGAAGTCCAGATATTTTATCTAAAATATTGTCTAAGTCCAACAACTATAAATTTCACAAGCGACACTGTGCTTACAACTGGGCTCCACTTTAGTTCTCTAAACAGACTGAAGGTAGTCGTCTCACTAAATTCATCAGAATTGGGAATTGTAGGGAGAGCTCACTCACAGCCTTTGTTGACGTTTCACGGTGCGCATGTCGAATCATGAAATGCAGCATGAATATAGACAATATCAGGTACACGTAGGTCATACAGTTCCCTGCAAGGAAGATACAGAGAGGAACTAGTTCTTGTATAGACTCCCAGTTGATCCTTAGTAATGCACAAGCTCTCCTACAGATGTGGCGACCGTCAGGAGCGCGTCGTCTGTTGCTTCCCTTCCTGACGTCACGCGTAGGATGGTCCCTGGCGGTGGTGAGTCACTGGCGGTGGTGAGTCCCTGGCGGCAGGTGAGTCCCTGGCGGTGGTGAGTCACTGGCGGTGGTGAGTCCCTGGCGGTGGTGAGTCACTGGCGGTGGTGAGTCCCTGGCGGTGGTGAGTCACTGGCGGCAGGTGAGTCCCTGGCGGTGGTGAGTCACTGGCGGCAGGTGAGTCCCTGGCGGTGGTGAGTCACTGGCGGCAGGTGAGTCCCTGGCGGTGGTGAGTCCCTGGCGGCAGGTGAGTCACTGGCGGCAGGTGAGGATCACGGGTGTAAGGTGTGCGGGAAACGCGAGATGAATAACAGAAAATATATATCTTCCTTGTTTTCCTGTGTGCCTTGACAGTACAGATAAACAAACAACAATGGTAAACAGTAAGACAACTTGACCTAGGGTAGCCGACAAAACTGTCAGCTGCTTATTTCCATGAGGGTCCTTTGCTTAGGCTTACTCTTGGTCTTTAATCAGTAATATTATGTCCACAGGAGAAGTGGTGAAAGTTTATTTGATAGCATTCAACAAGCATTACATCGCTCTATCATGGACTATCCGAGGCTGGCGGATCACCACCTCTGTGGTTTAATAATAAACAAACTCACTCTTCTCTTGCTGTAGTTTCATCTATTATGTATTTCTTTATTTTACCTTTGAATTGTTTAATTTTATAACTAGTTTTGATGTGGTCCGGTAGATTGTTCCAGTCTGTTTTAACAGTAAAGAAGAACGTATTTTTCACTTGACTACGGACACAGGTAGTAGGCAGCTGCCAAACAGGGAGGTACTACCGTCTGGGAAGATATTGGAAGCATAATGTGTTGTCTGGTGGTAGACCCTGCTGCTATATGGCATCACGAAAATTGTGACCAAGTCCCAGGTTACTGATCTGAATTTCTGCTTCATTTACACACAATTACAAGGTTTCAATTGTTTCTCTTATTATTGACAACACAACATATATACAGTATATTGTTTCTCATTTTTTTTTTAATTTTTTTTTCTTTATTATTATTATTATTATTATTATTATTATTATTATTATTATTATTATTATTATTGTTACTGTGGTATTATTATTATTAATTTATTATTTTATTTAAATTTTTTATATTTTTTATTATAGAATTTATTTACTATGAATTATTATTATTATTATATTTTCACCCCCCAGGCCCCGGTGTGGGTCAGTGACCTGTGCCCGGGTGGGCTGATCCCTGTAAAAAAAAGAAAAAAGAAAAAGTACCATAACATTGTGCTGACGCCCTCTAGTGCCCTGCTGGGTCATATCCCTAGTCCTTACACAGTTCGTTATTAGATACTCTGGCCACAGTCCATAGAAAACCCAGTAAGCGGGACTCAGCCACACTTAACATGTTCAGTGATTGAAGAACTCGGTGACCAACGTGATCTCTTGTGTTCACGGCAACAATGAGCCTCACAACCTGGTTCTTAATAATTTGGAGCTTGGATATTAACTTCTGTCTTAGGGCAGAGTACATGACCTTTTTCTTACTCACAAAATTAATTTGACTTAAACTGATAAATAGATTAAACAAGACCAAATTAATTTATCTGTTATACTTTATTTAGTGTCACAATACTAATCAGGTTACAAGTGAGAGCCCTCCCTCACCCACCCCAGATTTACATATGACGTGGCTGTACTCTCTCCACCCCTCCGCAGTCTGTCGGGGAGAGAAGCTGCAGTATTGTTGCCGTAAACACTGTCACTCATCCTTCATGTGTTAGGGAAGTGGCTGTGGTGTTGGTCCGACTCCCACGACCTGACGATGGTTCCCCAGCACACGCCCTTTGCTCGGCCACTCCAGATGGTGTGTGTCTGGCCCAGTAAGTCATTCCTTATCCCTCCAACAACTGTTTCCTCACACACTACAGCGGGCGGCGAGTTGAAGGATGACTTTTCGTTATTATTATTTTATTTTTCGTGAATAAATTAAAACAAACGTTACCAGGATATTGAAAGCCTCTTGTGTCATATAACATTAAAGATTTATTTTATAAAACTTAATTCTGATCAGAAGTATAGAATATACATAATTATATATATAAATTGATCAATAAATAGAATTCCATTATATTGTAAATCCTGCTGTGGAATAAGACATCGCTGATTGGTTAACCTTGAGAACGTAAAGTAAATATTTAACCAATTAGATTAGAGAACGTAGCTCAAACAGGAAGACTCATACAATAATACAATAACACCTTTAACATATAAACACCAGTAAGATAATACAGAAAACAAAAATATTATAGACATTTTTTTTCTTTTAATATTCGGAGATGATCATCGAAATCTATCAAAAGAGACAGTGAAGTGACGGAACTGCTGTGGTTGTATTTCACCAGTTCTCAACATCGTATCACCATTCAAACTCTCAATGGAATGATAAATATGAATGACGTTTTATTTTAACAATGTCTTGGATCAATTAATAGCACACCTGAACATTTATGACATTTATGAATAATATTAAAACGGGATTTGATGTTATTACGAAGTTTACAGTTAAGGGAAATAGTGTACAGGGGATAAGCTGTAAACTGTAGTGGTAGTAGTAATAGTGGTAGTAGTAGTAGTAGCAATGATGGTGGTAGTGGTGTTGATGGTAGTTGTAGTAGTGGTGTTGGTAGTAGTGTGGTGGTGGTGGTGGTGGTCGTGATGGTTGTTGTGGTGATAGTTGTTGTGGTGATGGTAATAGTGGTGGTGGTAGTTGCGGTGATGGTAGTTGTGGTGATGGTAGCAGTAGTAGTGGTTGTAGTGGTGATGGTAGTAAGGATGGTGTACACTTAACCCCGTTTGTATGTCTCACACACCACAATTATGGCTGTAAGTGACCTCGTATGACAGTACCTTGACAGCGTACCTGGACTGGTCGACAGTACCTTGACATGCCAGAGGGGTTTCCAACATGCTGAGGAAACCTTGAGGACAAACAACTGAGGATTCCTTTTTGATTATGAAGCCTAGACCAAAAAAATATCCAATTTATAAAATGCAGGGAGGCTTAGTGTGCTCACGAAGCCTCTGTGTGAATTATGAAGCCTTCAGACAATATAAGAAGCCTTCAAATGACTTAGGAGGCCTCGATATGACTTAGGAAACCTCCATATGGCACAGGAAGCCTCCATATGGCACAGGAAGCCTCCATATTGCACAGGAAGCCTCAATATTGCACAGGAAGCCTCAATATGGCACAAGTAGCCTCTCATTTCCGTATTCCTTTACCGTAGCAGCAGAGTTCCTTAAACACTCCCGTATTTACTGTTGTTTGTTCCTGGTAACCTCGGCTGAGTCCAGATGTATCCTGAGGCCATCACACTACAGTAGGCGTTGTAGTACTTGCCAGGGGAACGGCAGGAGGACCAGCGGGGACACCTACACCTGAACTCCATCTGAAACTCCTCCTTGCAGATTTCGTTCCACCAGCAGGTTCTCTGACGAAGGTGGGAGAGAGTGAGAGAGAGACAAACTTTAGGAGGGAATGAAAGAGGATGTGCTAGATGTGTATGTATGAGAGAGAGAGAGAGAGAGAGAGAGAGAGAGAGAGAGAGATTACCTTCCACTTGGAGGAGTATGTTGTGGATGATGAACTGCTCCACACTTCATTATCACTCCACCCATTACTCACTCCCCCACCACCCACACCCACCCATGACCACCCTCCTTCCACACCCATATCCATCACCCACCCATGACCACCCTCCATCACCCACACCCACCCATGACCACCCTCCATCCACACCCTCCATCACCCACACCCACCCATGACCACCCTCCATCCACACCCTCCATCACCCACACCCACCCATGACCACCCTCCATCCACACCCACATCCATCACCCACACATGACCTTCATCCACTTCACTCACGATCCACCCACCTTCCTCATCCACCAAATTGTATCCCTCATCCACTGACTGACTGACTGAGGATAGACAAGTAGAGGCCAGGACTGATAGATGGTTGGCTGGATAGATCGATAAATTGATGGATAGACAAATCAATTAATACAGAAATCAATAGAAATACACACAGATATACATACACACATACATACGTCTCTTATACGCACACAGATACATTGTTAACGTCTCCTATACACACACACATATATGCACAAGCACACTCCCTATACACACACACACACC